ACATTGATATCTGATAAACTTCAAGACAAAAGCATTACCAAAGATGAAGACACACTGTAATAACAAAAGGCTCAAGTCATCGGAAAACATAATAAATGTCTAAGTACTTGAGAGTAAAGCTTCATCAAAATGCATGAAGCAAAAAATTGATAGAAATAGAGAAGAGACAATTCCACAGTCATACTTGGGATATTTTAACATTTCATTTCAGGAATGCATAAAACAATTATACCGAAAAATCAGGAAAGATATACATGATCTAAACACCACTAACCACCTTAACCTAACTGATATATACGGAATGTTACACCCAACAACTGCAGAATACACATTCTTATCAAGTGTATTTACCAAGAAAGACTACACGCTGAGCTATAAACAAGTTGTAATAAATTTGAAAGGATTCAAATTGTAGAGTAATTTTTATGACCACAATGAAATTAAATTAGAAATGAAAACAATAAGATATCTAAGAAACCACGTAAAATTTGGCAATTGAACCACACAATTATAAAAAAAACTAATGCATCAAAGAAAAAGTTCTACAGGAAATGAGAAACTATTTTGAATTGAATAACAACAAAAAAAATATCAAAATTTCTGGAATGTAGCTAAAGCAGTCCTTGGAGGGAAATTTATAGCTCTATAGAAAAACAGTAGTTTATGGCAGGAAAAGAGAGAAAGGAATAAGATCAGTGTAGAAAGATACAACCTACAGTTCCAATCTTAAGTAAGAAGCCAGAAAAAGAGCAGAGTAACTCCAATAAGAAAAGAGAAGGAAATAATAAAAATAAACCAGAAATCAATAAAACCAAAAACAAGTTAAAATTAACAAAAACAGAGGTATTTTTTTGAAAAGATTAACAAATTTGACAAATGCCTCAGTAAACTAATCAAGAGAAAAGAAAGAATACAAATTACTAGAATCAGGAATGAAAGTAGTTGTCGCCACAGAATCTACAAAGATGAAAGGTAAAAGAAAGTAACACAAGAACAACTTTACACCAAATTTTCTAATTTAAGTGAAATAAAGAAATTTCTTTAAAATTAACTAAAATTGACACAAAATAAAACAAAATCTGAATATAAGATATATGTTTATATATACCTTATCTATATTATATAAATGTATATATAAATTTTCATATATACATATACATATAAATTTACACACACACACACACGAAAATTTGGGCAGCGTGCAGTGGCTCACACCTGTAATCCTAGCACCTTGGGAGGCCAAGGAGGATCACTTGAGCTCAGCAGTTTGGGACCAGACTGAACAAGACAGTGAGACCCCATCTCTACAAAAATAAATAAAACTACCTGGGTGTGGTGGCACACACCTGTAGTCTCAGCTACTACAGAGGCTGAGATGGGGGGATCACTTAAGCCCAGCAGGTCAAGGTTGCAGTGAGCTGTGATTGTGCCATTGTACTCCAGCCTGTACAAAAGAGCAAGACCTTGTCTCCAAACCAGGCCCCTCCAAACACACACACACACAAATTTTAATTTGTTATTAAAAACTTTCCAATAAAGAAAATTTCTGGCCCAGGCAGTTGCACTTAGGTCTATCTATCAAACAGTTAAGAAAGAAGTAACTACAGCACTCCATGAATTACTTCTGAAAAAAACGATTTTAATAATTTAATAATGCCTCATTTAAAGAGACCAGGTAACTCACACCAAAATCTGACAAAGGCATTCCAAAAATAAAATTCCTACCAATATCCATCATATAATTTCAAAAGGTATTAGGAAATAAAATACAGCAAAATATAAAAAGAACACATTTTGGCCAAGGAATATCTAAGAAATTCAAGGTTGATTTAACATTTGAAAATCTTACACGTAATTTACTATATTAAAAGAATAAAAGTGAAAAACCTTATGATTATCTCCATAGATGGAAAAAAAAGTATCTGGCAACATTTAACATCCATTCATGACAAAACAACAACAATAACATCTCAGTGAAATAGGAATAAAAGGAAATTTCCTCAATCTTATAAAGGAAATTGATGTAACTGATGAAAACTCCACAACTAATGCCATACTTCAATTTTTTTAGAAAAGCAATATTTCAAAGCTTTTATGGAAATCTCAAAGAATGTAAAAAATATATAGATGAGACAATTTTTTTAACCAAGACTGTAAAAGTTATAAAAGATATATTTGAATATATA